CGCGGAGCCCGCGCCCGCTGCAGCCCCTAACTTTTATTTTTACAAGCCCATAAACCCAACCGAGCGGGCCCGGTGGTGATGCTCGGAAAGTTTGGGGTTTTTAGGGTTTTATTCCCACGGCGCCTGAAATTGAAGGGTTTCTGGAGAACATCAACAAGCGCCCGAACGCGTGGCTGCAGTGTTACCGAGCGAGCCGGGCGGCTGCTGGCTTTCGGGCTGGGCTGGCTGCGGGAACAAGAGCCGCTTATTTTTCTGCCTCAATCCCTCGGTGCCAAGTAGAACCAGTGAGGATGCCCCGAGCCTCGTGGAGGCTGGTGGGTGCCCAGGAATAGCCTCGATGCGCTGTCGTCTAGCGAGCGCCGCTCTAATAACGGGGCGATTTCAGATTGGAAGCCCGCTATCCTCGGTGATACCCTTTGAAATGTTTCCTAATGGCAACATCTTGCCAGCCGCGGTCAGAGTCCAACAGAGCCGCCGCTTCCTTGCGCTTCCCATGCAGTAGCTGGCATCCGTCTCCCGAGCGTGATTTTAAGCCGAGTACATTGGCTTGTGTTCTGCTTGCTAAGCTCATCCGAAAGGACCCTTCCTTCTCTGCTGTTGGTTTCTGTGTCTCCGGCGCAGCGCAGTCTGGGGCTGCGGGGGTTGCGGTGCTCCCCGGGGAGGCAGGTGCCCGCCCGGAGTTGCACTTTGCGGGGAGGCGCCGCTCCCGCTCCCCCGGCTGCAGCCGGCGCTGCCGGCTCTGGAGGCGGCGGAGGTGCCGGCAGCATCGCTAAGCGATGCTCTGGCTGGCTCTGCCGACAGCCCCGGCGCGTTAGAAATCCCCTGCCACCAGCACTTGTTAGTGCGTAAATCACCTGGCACTCCGCACGCATAAATCACGGGCTTGTGTGCTGTCAGCGAGTTCCTCTGGAGCCGGGGTCTGGGACCTTCCCTGCCGGGGAGTCCCAAGGAGCCCGGGCTGTGTGGCTGGGCTGCCCCGTCCCTGTGGCGGGGGCTGGATCCTCTGCTCAGTCCAAAGTTGCAGCTGAGTGTTTTGTTGGCTGTGTCCCCCCCTGGGTGCTGGCACGTTGTGTATGATTCTGTGCATTGTCACGTTTTTAACTGGGAATCCCTCAATTCCTTCCCACTGCCGGGGCAAGAGCAGAGCCTGGAGTGTCCCAGAGGCTGCAGCAGGCAGAGCCTGGGATGCTGCTGCAAGGGTGAAGGGGAAGGAAGGGTGTCCTCACCTGGTCGCAGGCTCCTGGGTTTCTCCCCCTTCCATGCTGGGGTCTGCCCAGTTTCTCAGTAGCAGACCTCGGTGGGTTGGAGGTTGCAACATCAGGCCTTTGCGTGTCTCCAGTGCGAGCACAGCGCCTTGATGAATTGCTGCTCTTTGTTTCCTCCCCTCTTCTGACAGTGCCCAGTATCCCAGCCTTCCTACAGACAATGCTCTCTTGTAGTCAGGCAACTATTGCTGGCCCATTTTATTTTTTGCAGCTACAGTATGGATCCACTCCAACAGATAGGCACTCTAACACAAGCAACTTCTACTTGCACACTGCCTTACTGTTCAGGTTTGCTCATGCCTAAACACTTCATCACTGGGTGCAAAACGTTTTCCCAAATGACAAAAGTCATGGTGTGCATTTTCCTTGTTTTGTTTTTGCAGGCACACAATGGGGATCTTACAGTTAGACCCACATGCAAGCCTGGCTTCTCAGAACAAGACTACACAGCATTCATCTCCCAGAATATCGTGGAAGGGCAGAAGTTACTCAAAGGTAAGTGGAATAAAAAGCTTAATAGCTTCTGCAATAACTGTATTTTCAGGAGGTGAAAGGAGGCTTAAAGATGCTGGTTTTGATGGTGAAATTGTCTGCAGAATTATGTTTGTAGGAGGATGAAACACTAAGTGGTTTACCTGAGCACAGTTTTGAATACAGATGAATCATTCCAAGTCCGCTGCTGTCTGCTTCAGGTGGATTGTTTGTTACACCATGCGAGGTCATCACTTCACTCTTGAGTCTCCCACTCCCACCCTGTCTGAAGGAACTCTGCATCTGATATTTTAGCAAGTATTTTTATATATGAAATTCAAAGATCCCTAAATTATCTCTGCTTTGAAATGGATGATAAAGCAGACGTTGTTGTTGGAAATGTGGTAAACAAGCCTACAGACATTCTGTTCACAAATGTGGCATTCATTTTCATTACTGCCCCACTGACAACATGAAAACACAGGCAAAAAGAAACTACCAATTAGCTTTATAGTAATTGCAGGATTATAACCACTTTTGTGCTTGTAAACTCTAAGATGTCTTCATAATCCAAATAACAGTAGATTATCCTGTGTATTGCTCTGTCTCCTTTTCAAGTTAAAAATAATTAAACTTTATATTTGCATGGCACAGAAAAATACTTTATTCCAAGAGAATTTTTGAAGATCAGAATCCCACAGCAGCCCAGGAAGTTGGGGAGCACGTCAGGACTTGGTGCTCTACTCCAGGCTTTATAACTGTATTTTTCAGTGTTTTCCTGAGCACATTTTGCTTGCATGCATGTCTCTGTGCCAGAAAGCTGGGATTTCTGTCTTCCTCCAGACCAAACACCTGCTCTGTTACTTTGATTTTTCTCAGAAGAGAGGGAGAGTTGTCAGTGTTCTCTCTGGCTTCAGCAGAATCCAGGACTGGACATTTTTGCTCTGCATGAGCTGGCAATCACTTTTGTTTCTGTGCCCAGTTGTCTTAGTGTTGCTGTTCAGGAATTCTCTTGATTGGCCTGGCATTAATTAGTAGACCTTGGGGAGTTTATTTTTAGTTTGAAGGGTAACCAGTGAGGGAATTGGGATGGACAAGCTCAAGATTATGCAACCCTAAAGAGACCAAATACCAATAGTTTACACACTTTGTAGCAATTTTTGCCAAATGTGAAGGCGGCTTTACAGGTCAGTCTGGAAACTGGGTAGATTTCATGCTCTTTTAGCTTTGCAAATTATTTGATAAAAAATGTTCTCTGAGTACTGTAGAAAGCCTGTGTCATAAATATATTTGCTCAGAAGAGTGGGTTTTTTTTGCAGTTTAGTGCTTGATAAATGGTGCTGTGTTTATGGAGGTGAACAACAGGGATGGAGCAGAAGGGTCTGCTCAGAGGCATTGGGTGGCTGTGACTTTCAGAACAAGCACAGTGGCTGTCATTTAATTTCTGGCTTAACTGATAATTTTTAAATATGAAATTATATTTACACAGGCTGTCAAGTTGATTTGAATGAAAATATATTTCTATTTGATTTTATCCTTTAGGGACCAGTTGTAGTTTTACATTAGTCATGGCAACCCTGCCTCTGATTTAGGGCTGCACTCACCCTGGGGACATTATGTATCCATGCCCCACTTGTAAGATTCATGGCCTGATGGCGTTGTCACAGGTTCCATGATTTAAAAGCATTTTCTCAACAAAAGAAGGAAGAAAAAAAGTGCAAGTGCTGTGTTTGCTAATAAGTAAACTATCATCTTTGCACCTTTTAATCTATAGTCAAATACATGCTGTTGTTTATCATGGAAAGCAAATATATCTAATTAATTTATACAATAATGGGCAAGAAAATTCTTCATGCTTGTGTTGTTCTTTATATATACTCTAGCATGTAAAATTGGTAGTTTTCCAGTTTAGGTTTAATTTTACTTCCTAGCACTTGATGTGTCTGAAGCATAAAATGTTTATCTCTTTCTTCCATCTGGGTGAAGTATTGTACAATAGTTCAGACCAAAAATGGGTTCAGATTGCTTACATTATCATGTTTGATAGATTGACATATGTACTATTTCACACCATCTTACCACGCAAAGCTCTGCTGCCAGCAGCTACCACCATCTTATTCATCAGCATTCAGTAATTCATCTGCAGGCCAAATGGGACTGTTTGCCTGAATTAAAGAAAAAAAAAAAAAAAAAAGAAAGTAAGTAGGCAGAAATTCACCTGTCAGTGCTTTCCTGGAATCTGGGGGCTGGAAGAAGCGTGTCTGTAGCTTGGGTGGCTCTTGGGGGATTTCACAGAGTGAACATGAGGTTTTTATGGATAATGCTCACCTTGTCCTTAGGAAGGAGAGGTGGGCAGTCCTGGGACAATTTATCCCTGAAGGTTTGTCCATCAGAAATCAAGGAGCATGCAGCTCTCAGCATGGTGGTGAAATTCCTCCACACCATGGAGAAATTTGGATGTTCATGGTTCTCTGTGGCAATAAATAAATTGAGCATTTCCCTTTTAAGCTTAGCAAGATCCAGCTCTCAAATGTATGCACTGTTATGAATGCATCAAAATGAAAGTGTTTATAGTATTCTAGGTTTGAATCAAGTTACAGATAATCACTGCTTATAATTGGTTTATTCCAATGGAAATAGCTTAGCCTTAATTTGACAACAAGAGCTTTTACAGAGTCATTGTTTTATTATAAGTATGCCGTAAGCTATTAGCTACTACTTTGTGGTTCATCTTATTTGCCTGAGTCAGCTCTCTAACATGCTCAAAACATACAGATTCTAGCAGGAGCTATTTGTTACACAGTAATTAACTTGTTTATGATAAATGGATGGGAGAAATGTCACGGCATTTTGTTTTATGTATAAATGAAAAAGCATCTGCATTCTAAAAATTTCATGTTAATTAGACTTAAAATAGTTTTCCCCAGTAGTGCCACAAATACCACCGGCTGCACATCACTGCCAACACTGTGGCCTGATGATGGGGTGGTGGCTGAGGTGATTTGTGGAGCCAGTGCCTTCCTCAGAAATGCCATCACTGCATCTCTTAATGAAAGCTACTGGGGTGTAATCTGTTATACTTTTTTGTCTTTGTTTTTGTTTGCAGTATAATAAACTTAGTCTTGATCATTGATGCATGGTAATGTTTAAGATAGCTTCGTTAAGTATTTTCTTCTTTAGCCTAAGGGAAAGATGTCCATGTCTGCAGTATGGCAGAGGACGATTGTGGCACGGGGATCTTTTCCTCTTTGTTAATTATTTATGCTAACTTAACGTGGTGAGAACATTGGTCCTGAGGGGTGGGGAGCGGGGCCTTGTGGGGCTGCACGGAAGCAGTTCAGCAGTGTCCCAGGGGGTGATTCCTGATGTCAACTCAGTGTTTGGGAGCGATGAGGACCAGCGGCCTCTTGGGGAAGGAGGGAGAGAAGGATGCTGAAAGTGGTGAGCAGTATGATACTCTTGCTATTGGCTTTGTGCCCTTTTGGATTTTTTTTGTAGTGTTTTTTAAGATTATGATTATTAAGAAAGGATGTTTTTCAGAATTAGGAGTTGAGGTTTAATTGGCACACCATGAGGCTGTGGTGACTGAGAGTGGGTGGGGTGGCATCAGGGTGCTGAATGCATTATTCCTCCAGTGTGGCCCCACCAGGGCTCCAGCACCTCTCAAACGCACCTGAACAAAACAACTCAGAGCAGACAACACGAGCAGATGAGAGGTAGAGCCACTTTGTTGTGTTTTCTGTGCATTCCTTCGTGATTTGTGTTTCTGTGCCCAGCCCGAGCACTGCCTGTGCTGATGGAGCAGGGGAACTTCTCTGGTGTGGGCAGGGGACAAGTGTGTGGCAACACGCTTTATTTTCATATGAGGAGATGAATAAACTCTGCCAGCATGTTCTGCTTCAGCAAGTGTATGAAACCAAAGTTAGCCAAGCTCATACAAATGCATAAAAATGTAATTGCTTCTATTCTAGGATTTTTTTACTAGCATGATTTTTGGTTAAAAAAAATACATAAAAGCTTTATTGGAATACCACTTTTTTTTTTTTTTTTTTTAAGAATTCACTGTAGAGATAATCTCTTGTAAGTTTTTAAGAGATAGGATATTCTTCATGGTCTAAAGCTTTTTGTTCTCTCCACTGAGATTTCAAAACCTCCATCCTTTTTAGCCCTTACCACATCCAATATTAAAACTTAGGAAGGCTGTGAATGCTGTTTGGAGAATATTGACTGCATAGACCAAAAAAACCCAGCATCCACAATCTCCCTGGGATAGTGGAGAATACTGTAGATGGTGCAGGCTTCCCACTTTTCCTGGGTTTAGAGTCCAGAAAATACCCAGTACCCATCTGCTGTCAGTTTTGGCCAGAGCTTAGTTCCCACAGGCTGTGAAGGGTGTGTGGATGCCTGAGGCTGCCCTGCCCACAGTCATGTCCAGGTGCCCTCTGGTGTGCCCTGAGGGTGCTTTTGGGAAGGGAAGAGCCTGAGCAATGCTGGATTTGTTCTGGTGTTTGATGATTTTGTTGAGCACCTCTTAGGGTTGCTCGGTGCTTGCAGCAGCTCTGCTGCAGCTGGAATAGCCAGTGCCCTCTCCAAGCTGCTCAGAGCTGAAAAAAGCAGAGAGGCTTTTCCATTCGTGTTTTCATTATTTTCTGGTCTGTGATTCTGCATGAAAAGCAGTTGCTGCAGTTATTGTACACGTAATTAGCTTCACAGTTCCCTAATAACATCTGAAAGCAGCAGAGCGGCCGCTGGAGCTCAGAACTCACCCTCACCTCTCTTCACTCCTTTCTTGGAGCAAAGGGGGGCAGGCAGGCACCAGCTCTCTGTGTTCAGCGTGCACAAGCTCCAGTGGAGCTGCCTCTCAGAAAGCACTTCTCACATTCTGCAGGACAACTTCTTCTAAGAGCGGTTTCTCGTGATGGGCTCGTTGCAAATCAAAACCATCATTTCCATCCTGAGTTCCAGGGGAGACCCCAGAAAGAGCTGTGCAGAGCAGGGAACTGCTGATGCCCATGTATTTTTAA